GAAGCAACAATTAAGATGAGCTATTTAACAGCGGACAAGAAATAGCTGGAGCATTTACGAAGCTCTCGGGAAAATGTTGGAAATTCAGGAATCACTCATTAAAAAAAGGAGATTTAGGATATCTTCAGAAAGGTGAGCCCTGGGTGGAACACGGGATGTTTAGTGCCCTGGGTGGAACACGGGATGTTTAGTGCCCTGGGTGGAACACGGGATGTTTAGCGCCCTGGGTGGAACACGGGATGTTTAGTGCCCTGGGTGGAACACGGGATGTTTAGTGCCCTGGGTGGAACACGGGATGTTTAGTGCCCTGGGTGGAACACGGAATGTTTAGTGCCCTGGGTGGAACACGGGATGTTTAGCGCCCTGGGTGGAACACGGGATGTTTAGCGCCCTGGGTGGAACACGGGATGTTTAGTGCCCTGGGTGGAACACGGGATGTTTAGTGCCCTGGGTGGAACACGGGATGTTTAGTGCCCTGGGTGGAACACGGGATGTTTAGTGCCCTGGGTGGAACACAGGATGTTTAGTGCCCTGGGTGGAACACGGGATGTTTAGTGCCCTGGGTGGAACACGGGATGTTTAGTGCCCTGGGTGGAACACGGGATGTTTAGTGCCCTGGGTGGAACACGGGATGTTTAGTGCCCTGGGTGGAACACGGGATGTTTAGTGCCCTGGGTGGAACACGGGATGTTTACTGCCCTGGGTGGAACACGGGATGTTTAGTGCCCTGGGTGGAACACGGGATGTTTAGTGCCCTGGGTGGAACATGGGATGTTTAGTGCCTGGGTGGAACATGGGATGTTTAGTGCTCTGGGTGGAACACGGGATGTTTAGTGCCCTGGGTGGAACATGGGATGTTTAGTGCCTGGGTGGAACATGGGATGTTTAGCGCCCTGGGTGGAACACGGGATGTTTAGTGCCCTGGGTGGAACACGGGACGTTTAGTGCCCTGGGTGGAACAAAAGATTTGTGTTTAAAAACACAGACGAGACGGAGAGACGCCAACAGAAGCTTCTTTACTGTGAGTCGCAAATAAGTGGTATGGGCTTTAGGAAGAAATTGTTTAGGCGAACTTTAAAAACAACTTAAAAACAAAATACGACGAGAAATATGACAAATGAAATTAACTGCACTAGCTGACCAGAAGCAGGAAATATGGGGCTATGGCTTTGTTGTTCTACGGTACATGCACACATAAATGATATACACTCAGCCAAGGTGATCTTAGTTAAACACAGATGGGAGACTCATATATTGTATTACAATTTTCAAAGAGTTTATATATTGTCATAAGTTACCTCCTGGTATTGGTGGCCGCCTTCACGACTGCCGTGTTGGACGATCTCTCTCACGGGGTACAAGAATGGACCAGGGGTCAGATTCACGAAAGCACTTACGCAAGTACTTACGAACGTGTACATCTTTCCTCAATCTTTGACGGCTTTGGTTACATTTATTAAACAGTTTACAAGCATGAAAACTTCGCATTCAACTGTTGATATTGTTATAAACAGCCTCCTGGTGCTTCGGAGCTCATTAACTGTTTAATAATTGGAAACAAAGTCGCCAAAGATTGAGAAAAGATGTACAGGTTCGTAAGAGTTTGCGTAAGTGCTTTCGTGAATCTGGCCCCAGAGAGATTAATTCCCTTCCAGTACTAATACAACAGCTCACTTGTGTAAGGCACAAACACTTAGTCAGGAAAGTGTCAATACCCATTATGGATTAATATATTATATAACATTAAATGATTAGAGATTATTTTAAAATAGGATGCCTATATGAGGAGTGTAATGTATGCCTCACATTACACTCAGGCAGGATGTGTCCTAGCTGAGATTGTCCATAAGAGTGTCCCAGGACGGGTTAGCTGACAACTGTCTCTAAGGTGTGTCCCTTAGCTGACAACTGTCTCTAAGGTGTCTCCCTTAGCTGACAACTGTCTCTAAGGTGTAACCCTTAGCTGACAACTGTTTCTAAGGTGTCTCCCTTAGCTGACAACTGTTTCTAAGGTGTCTCCCTTAGCTGACAACTGTCTCTAAGGTGTCTCCCTTAGCTGACAACTGTTTCTAAGGTGTCTCCCTTAGCTGACAACTGTTTCTAAGGTGTGTCCCTTAGCTGACTACTGTCTCTAAAGTGTCCCAGCGCTGAAAACTGTCTCCTGTGTCTCCCAGCGCTGAGAACTATCTCTAAGATGTTTTCCAGCGCTGACAATTGTCTCTGAGGTGTGTCCCAGCGCTGACAACTTTTTCTAAGCTGCCACTCACATCAAATATAATTTATGGTCACAAACTTTTCGGAAAAGCACAAATGAGATTCTGTTACCAAGGTTATTTTGAAATCTGGTCTGGCCAGCTAGGTACCACCGCCTTAATACTGCACACCCTTTGGCCCGTGTCTTGTAGGCCTTTGGACCACCTCTTGTAGACCCTCTGGCCCGTGTCTTGTAGGCCTTTGGCCCACCTCTTGTAGGCCTTTGGCCCACCTCTTGTAGACCCTCTGGTCTCCTCTTGTAGCCCTTCTTTTCCACGTCTTGTAGGCCTTCTGGTCCACGTCTTTTAGACTCTGGTTAACCTTTTGGAGAGTCTCTGGTCTAACACTTGTAACTCTTTGGTCTAACTCATGTAGGTCTCTGGCACCTTTCTGATCCATCTAGCCCACTTGTAATCTTCCTTTGGTTCACTTGGGAGTATATTTACATTCCACTTGTGATCTGTCTCTGGAAATCTGCCACTCCACCTCAGTCATTAATAGCCTATTTCCAGTCCAACTATGGTCCACTTATTGGCCCTCATTGGTCCGTTGCTTGTCTGGCCACACTTTAGTCCATCTCAAGTGCCCTTCCGGTTCCACCTTGCTGATCTTCTCGCCTACTACTACTGACCTCCCGTCTTGTTAAAAATTTCCTCATCCTTCGCTGGTTCCTTGCTGAGAATTATCTCATCCTTATCTAGCATTCCCATTTCTTATGGCCTCCGCCTTTGATCCTTCTCAGAGACCTTCCGGCTCTCCTCTGATACTCCTCAGAGACCTTCCGGCTGTCCTCTGATCCTTCTCAGAGACCTTCCGGCTGTCCTCTGATCCTCCTCAGAGACCTTCTGGCTCTCCTCTGATCCTCCTCAGAGACCTTCCGGCTCTCCTCTGATCCTCCTCGTCACCCTGCAGCCCCCTCTGGCGTGGCTGTGGTTCCTCCTATATTGCATTTTGTTACTCCTGCTGGTTCCCATCTGGTATAATGTTTGCTAATCTGACTTTAGCTTCACGCATGAACACATCCAGACGCTTGTGTTCGCCCTTCCATAAGCTTAATAATGTTTATATTGTGCCTGCGTTAGTTATAGTAACAGCAGCTATGATAACAGTAGTCAAGATGATGTAGTGCGAGCAGTAGCGCTAGTAAAGATGATGTAGTTGTAAAGATGAAAGTAGAGCAATTATGAGTTGCCTTACTTATTCTAATATTGGTTTTGTTCCCAGCTTGGACCTTGGTAAGTGTGCTCTGTAGTTTAAACTCTTACGGGACTGAGTTCTGTTGTTCCTCTTAAAGTGCCTATTATATTTAATTTCCTGTGCAATGTTATCCGAAGAGTTTAACCTCTTGCACTTGCACATGTCTGTGAGGATACACGAGTGGCGTGTGCACGCTCAATTTTGCATTATTTTAATTGTTTTGCCCATTGGTCAGTGCTTTACCAGTCACATAATATATCTAGTTTTGCCAACTCCACTGGAAGCTTTCTTTCATTATGCTGCAGATTATACGCTGTGAAGCAATTATCATGTTATGTTTGATTCGTCATGGCTATTTGCACAGTTAATACACTTGTACACAGTTACTTGAACGATTTATTTGTTCATCAGCAATTTCTCTGTGTGTGTATTTTTTAACACCCACCCACCCCAACACCCATTAACACCCACCCACCCCAACACCCATTAACACACACCCACCCAACACCCATTAACACACACCCACCCAACACCCATTAACACCCACCCACCCCAACACCCATTAACACACACCCACCCAACACCCATTAACACACACCCACCCAACACCCATTAACACACACCCACCCAACACCCATTAACACCCACCCACCCCAACACCCATTAACACACACCCACCCAACACCCATTAACACCCACCCACCCCAACACCCATTAACACACACCCACCCAACACCCATTAACACACACACACCCAACACCCATTAACACACACCCACCCAACACCCATTAACACACACACACACACACACCCCAACACCCACCCAACACCCATTAACACACACACACCCAACACCCATTAACACACCACACGTACCAACTCCCCGCCCTATAAGCAGCCCATTCTCGTGAGCATTAACAGCCTCTTCACCCATTCTCCAGCCCTTTTCTTTACGCAAACCCCATTTCCACCTCACCTCTACACCCCTCTCCCGTAATACATATATCAGTACACCCACACCAATAGTAACAGCCCCGCTCCTGTGCCAGGTAAGTCCACTACGGGCTCACCATAGCCCGTGCTACTTGGAACTTTTTGTTTCTAGCAGCTGAATCTACAACAACAACCCCTTAAGCCTGAAGTATCTTAGTCTCCTAGCTCGGCGTCACCACTCTACACTTGTCTAATTAATTTGAAATTTGGATAAAGTTACCCCTGAATTTTACATTTTCTTTTCCTGAAGGAATCAGATAAAAGTAAGTAGATATTGGCTAATGAAGACAAATGATCTCAAAGTTAATATCTATAAACAAAACAGAATTCCCATATGACCCGAGCAGCATTGACCTGGTGTGAACCCAAAACGCCATATGACGCTGCCTGTCGTCTAAGGGTTAACTCCGTCCATCCACCTCTTGTACTCACGTCAGAGACACACGTCCCCCTCGCCACACTATACCCTGTCTACCCCCAATCCCACACATGTTCCTTTCAAGCTCCTCTAGAAGCAATTGCAAGGGGGATTGTGGCGGGGAATGTCTAGATTAACATGACCTTTGACCTGACCCCAGACCCAGAGGACTGGACCAAGCCGTCTCGAGCCAGGGACCCGGGAGGGACAATTAACGTGGAGGGCCGCCACCACCCTCTCCGCAGCCCCCCTGCCGCCGCCCCCTGCCGCAGCCCCAGCCCCCCTGCCGCCGCTCCTTGCCGCAGCCCCAGCCCCCCTGCCGCCACCAGACCCTCCTGCCGCATCATCCCTTCTGCCAACGCCATCCCCGTCTGTAAGGAACCCTCCACTGTCAAGGTACGTCCATCAACTGTTAATCAGTCTAAAGTTATGCTCCTCTAGATTTAAGGTATGAGGACTCGTGACCACTTTGGCCACAGATATTTCATCAAATCACTTCATCATGCTGGGGCTGCTTGAGTAACATTTGTACAGTTAGTTGGCCGAGTGGTTATGGTGCTAGACATGCCAAGGGGCATGGAGGCCCAGGCTAACAGGTTCGAATCCTTCAGGGTGTCAAGAGATATACTATGTGTATATAATATTAGTGAAGGGATCAGCCAACTTGTTTTAGAATACAAATAACAAAAATTCCTGTTAAAAAACTATTATTTTGCCTTTATTATACTGATGAAATAAATTGTGGAATGTGTAACAATAGCAACTGAGATGTCAGGAATTACCCAAGTAACCAATAAAACTACTGGTAAATATGAAGTTGTGCTGGGCTGTGTGACAAAACAAAGTCTGGGGATAAGTGTGTAGTAATCGCTCGGTCAACATTAGTATCGTAGTACAATCCTTCAGCACCAAGGTAGCGTCCGGCACTCTCACAGTAACCACCATGTATTGGAAGAAGATTTGAAGTAGTAGACCGGAATAAACCACTCAACTATTAGATCAGTCAATCACCCACATAATTACCAATATACCTGCCTGTTGAGCTACCCACCAACCCAGTTGGTCAGCTACACACCTGCCTAACAGCTGCCTCCACAGGTGTGTGTAGACCTGGACACGACACAATGCTACAAGCCGCCCAGGCCCCCCAAGGACCGACTTCGAGGTGTGAGTTCCTCGTCAGGTGACGGGCTCTGTCCCGCACCTCCCCGCTACCCCTCCCTCCTCACCCCTCCCCGCTACTCGCCGCTCCCCGCCCTCATCACAGACACTCACGGGGAGCCAGACTGCCCGCCTTACTCCCATCAAGGTAACTAATTAAGCGGCACCAGTGTCTAGTACGATGCCTGTCACTCTAGATGATTATATCTAATGCCACACTTTGCCAGTAGTCTCACTACCAGTAGTCTCTGTCACACTGTCAGTGCCACCACTAACCAGCTGTGACACGAGTACCTGTAACACCTCCACCACCTGTGGCACCACCACCACCTGTGGCACCAGCACATGTTTGTGTTCTCATGTTATTTCTGCACAGTTGAATTATTGACTAAGAGGCATTACTAGAGGGTCACTTTAACCAGGTCTCCCCCCCCCCAGACGATCCCCCGTCCTCAACGCGCATGCGCATCAAAAGCGACCGCGAAAAGATGACGGTGCGGAGTGAGGCGATGAGGTACTGGCGCTCTATACACACTAAGTGAGTAATGGCGCGCAATGTTGATATGATCACAGTGTACAGTCTCCTTGTTCACATCACTGAGTGTTCATAGCCTCTGTGTTCACATTGCTTGTGTGAACAGGGATGATGTTCCCGATACAGTTGGTCTACAATCATTCATCACCAGTGAAACTTTACTTTAAACTTTGATTTATATATGGTTTTCTTTCTGTGAGTGTCAGCGTATATATGTAGTGAAGTGTGAGTCCAAGACACAAGTTATGAACAAGGTGGGACCAGGTATGGGAGTGTTGTGTTGGCACTGTGTGCTGGGAGAGGCAACTCTTGAAGCCTCCAGAGACTTCTCCCTGGCACTGCTGTATTTTAGTATATATAAAATCTAAATACAGGTGTGAACGACAACTAGCCAATCTGGCAACGACACAAGAGTGGCCTTTACAATGTAGGAAAGATTGGTATATGCAGTTTAACATTGACGAACGTAGGGCTCTAAGTCTAGAAAATTCTTATACAATTAACAGATATTATGCGCATGATATTGAGATTCAGCCCATCTTCCTAAAATGAAAGTACTTATAGTAACTGTTTAGCTGAAGATACCAATATGCCGACCACCGGAAAGTTTTTTTTTGTATTATTGAATCTGGACAAACCGGAAACCCTTTTAACGGCAACATAAGGCCTAAATTAACCTCTCCTAGCAATCCTAGCCCTGTTACACGCTATCTTAGGCCTAAATAGTACATATATGTGCTTTACTAGGCCTAGGAATATTTATATTTGTTTATTAGCATTGTTATTTCAGGATTATAAAATTATAAGTACAAAAATTTGTTTACTGGCGGCCATATATTGGTACTTTGGACCAAATAGTCACTGTAGGTACTAACGTCTCAGGAGGACTTTTTTGTATGCAGACGGATCCAAGACCACACGACTGCTGACTCCTCTAAGAAGGCTCTCACACACTATATTTTATTATATATATATATATATATATATATATATATATATATATATATATATATATATATATATATATATATATATATATATAAAGAATTTAGTTTACATCAATTACATCTATCATGCTTTACACCTGTCACAAAATGTCACGTTAGTAGTCATAGTCTGTTTTCATAAAGGAGATCTCTGAGGCTACAATTTAACTCTCTTCTCAGATATTCTCTGCTCAATGGGTTCAACCGACAGCGTCGCAGCGCCATGGTCAAGAAGCAGCGTCAGCGTATCAAAGACAGGAACAACATGTCGATTTTCTTCGTGCTAGTGTTCATGTTGGTGTTCGTGGTGATCTTGGTGGCCGAGGTGTTCTTCATCGATGAGCACCGCACGGGGCTGCTCTTCGCGGGTAAGCGCACCTCAGACTTCGACCCCATCGGTGACATTCCCGATTACTTCATGGACGACAAGAAGCTGGTTGGCCAACTGGAGATCGACACATACAGGAGGCAGGAGCTCTCCGTCAAGGGAAAAACTGGGAATGAAGAGAGGTTCTACAGGAAAAACGTGGACGAGACGCACCTCATGGCCAGGGTTACGGGTAACCTGGTAAAGTCGGTGCACGGCATTGCTAAAGTAGACTGGCTCAACATGCTGGGCCTGAAGGAGATAACATATTTCGGCAGCAACAGTTCTGCCACAGACGGTCAGTGGCAGCCGGTGTTTTACACCAAACACAAGTTCTTCGTATACTCCGCTTATTATGACGACCGCAAGGGCAAGATCATCCGGGTCATCGGCGCTACACAGACCAAGAAAAGTGACCGCGTCTGGTGTAAATACTGGTATTCCAACTCCAGCACACTCATAGTCAACGGCGCCATCAAGATAATAAGAGAGAACTGGAATCTCAAGTTCTCTGCTTGTTTCATTGCGTGCCCACTAATTATCTACAAGAATGGCAAGCAGCCCATCCCGCCGCCAGAGAGCGTGTCCATCATGGCGGACCCCGGAGGTAACGCCACGAACAAACTGCGGGTCATGAATCTTGATGTGAATAAAGAGGAGGTGAAGAACAGCTTTGCCGTCTGTATAAAGCCACTGCACTTTGACTACAACAACGTGAACCAGATGATAGAGTTCCTGGAGCTAAATAAGATACTTGGAGTGGAACACTTTACCTTGTACAACCACACCATAGGCAAGGATGTAGACTGTATCCTCAGACAGTACGTGGAACAAGGCCTGGTCAACATACTCCCTTGGAAACTCGATATCAAATCTCAAAAAGAAATCCGCACAGAGGGACTGTTCGCCGCGCTGAACGACTGCTTGTACCGCTACATGTACCAGTACAGGTACATCCTGATGATCGACCTGGACGAATACGTTGTACCTCACGCTAACACCAGCTTACCTCAGCTGCTCCGATACCTCCACACCAAAGCTGACGCCAGGAAAATAGGCGCCATTAGCTTCCAGAACTCCTTCTTTTACCTTCAGTGGCCAGACGACCCTAGCAGGTGAGATTATATATATATATTATTGATTATTTTCTTGTTTAGAGCTTCTATCCCTCTGACTAGTGCTCTTGCATCATGGTTTAATTGGAAGAGGATTTCTCCAGATGTCATATAAGTTCGAGGTTGACTAAAAGGATAAAAATTAACTGTAGAATATATTACACTTATTATAAATTTACACAACGTTTCCAAGCTACAAGGTTTGTGTGAGCTGGTAGGCGAGAGTGCCTTACTTCCGCCGTTTGTCCTCACCACATGTTCTAGGATCCATCAATGCTCTGGCACAGAGAAAGAATGGTAGGGTGATGTCATGGGCTTCTCTCATGACAACACCGTAACACGGAAAGGATTGAGGGTGTCCCATCTTGCTAAATATGAAAGGAAAGAAACATCAATTGAGCTATACACTGTAAAGTGTATATGTATTTTTGGGGGACACCCGAGCAGTTGTTATTGTAGAGATGCGTTACTGAATATGACCACATGTCTTAGACCAATAATTCTAGCAGGAATTTTGTCTCTATTTATTATGTTCTTCCCTTGTAATTGTGTTCAAGAGTCTCTTAGATTCTACACATTCTCCCAGCCAATTACTTAACATTTTACCCTCCCTCCCTCCCTCCCATTTATCACATCGGTCATTAATTCCCTCATAAGTTGTTTATTACATTTGTCTGTTTTACTGAACAGTGACCGCCGCCTCCTTCAACCCCATGTCAGAATAAAGTTCAACTTGTTCTTGTAGTTGTTCAGATGTATCAACCAGGTGATACAGCTGTTGAGTTGTATCACCAGGACGTGTGAGAGCATTGCCTGTGTGTGTCTTCTGCAGCGCTTCTCTACCGCCGCTAGTGACTCTCAGGAAGACCAGACGCCGCCAGAGGTTCCATCCACACAAGCAGAGGTCCAAGTACATCGCCGTCACGCCCTACGTAGTTGAGGCTGGTCAGTTACACTACCTTGTGATAACACGTTTAGTATTATAGTTTTACAATAATCCAATGAGTGACCAACTGAATATAACACTTTAGTCTCTTTTCATACTTAGAATGTGTCTTTCCATACATAGTTAGGCACTACATGTGGGGCGTACAGCAGGGAAGGAACAGTATGGAGGGGATAGCACGGAGAGGACAGTAGTAGAGGACAACAGTAGAGGACGGCAGGGAGAGGACAGCACGAGAGGACAGCAGGAGGGTACAGAAGGGAAGGGAGGAGGGATGGGGCGGATACTAAGGCAGGTACACAGTCATCATCACAGTCATCATCACATAATAGCCCCGGTAAACCCTTACTTCACTTTCACACTTGCCATGTTCATTCCCTTCTTTAATATCTTATCCATTAAGTCCCTGCTCCTGTAGTCGTCCCTCCTGGCCCGCGTAACTCCCTCTACGGACCGTCACCTGTATTAACAACCTCTCCATCACTCTTGTGTTGTTATCAGGCGTCCAGCTGTTCGCCACTGTCTGCACTGCAAAGGTCACGGAATGTCAACATAAAACCTCTAATTTTCTTATAAAGGATATGACGCAAAACAACACAGGAGAGAGAGAGAGAGAGAGAGAGAGAGAGAGAGAGAGAGAGAGAGAGAGAGAGAGAGAGAGAGAGAGAGAGAGAGAGAGAGAGAGAGATAGAGAGAGAGAGAGAGGGGGGGGAGAGAGAGAGAGAGAGAGAGAGAGAGAGAGAGAGAGAGAGAGAGAGAGAGAGAGAGAGAGAGAGAGAGAGGAGAGAGAGAGAGAGAGAGAGAGGGGAGAGAGAGAGAGAGAGAGAGAGAGGAGGAGAGCGAGAGAGAGAGAGAGAGAGAGAGAGAGAGAGAGAGAGAGAGGAGAGAGAGAGAGAGAGAAAGAGGGGAGAGAGAGAGAGGAGAGAGAAGAGAGAGAGGCGAGAGAAGAGAGAGAGAGAGAGAGAGAGAGAGAGAGAGAGGAGAGAGAGAGAGAGAGAGAGAGAGAGAGAGAGAGAGAGAGAGAGAGAGAGAGAGAGAGAGAGAGAGAGAGAGAGAGAGAGAGAGGAGAGAGGAGAGGAGAGAGAGAAGGAGAGAGAGGGAGAGGAGAGGGGGGGGGGGGGGGAGAGAGCGAGCGAGCATATTCACCAACTTGTATTCACCTTGTTCCTGCAGGATCGAGCTGTTAGCTCTTGGACCCGCATTTCTTACTGTACGTTGTCTAATATAATGAGTCCCAACATGTTTGTCTATCACATCCTTCAGTCATGTTCCATTTAAGTTTTCTTTCTTTCTTGATGATGTGGTGGCCTGCCTGAAGCAACCATTAGTAGTCACCTCAGTAATGTTTGTCTCGCCCACACCTGTAGCACCAGGGGCTGCCTTGTTGTAGACACCATTTGCTATCTAAGATGTGAGATATGTCACATCTTAGAACTCTTCTCGAGGTACACTATAGTGTTACATGTTGATATCCTCAGTAAGTTAGGGAAAAGAAGAGGGGAATGGGTGTGATGCAGGGCATGAACTGCAAGATGAAAAGGACGAGGAATAAGAGGAGGCAGAAGGGAAGGAAGGTGAGGAAGCAGAAGACGATGACGGGTAAAAAGTGGCCGCCTAATGCAATGACTTCCGACGCCTTTGTTTTTTTCCTTAGCTTTTAAACTGTGGATTGAACTAAACACTATTTCCTATTTTAACTGTCCTTCCACTGAAGAAGTTCTTCCTCTCGTCCTTGTGGCACATCTGTGAATTTAGAATACATGAATGCACTTTCATTATGTTATTGCGTAACCTAAAATTTCTGTCTGACCTTTATTGATACCCTTGATTATTTTGAAAGTTTGGATTATATCCCATTTATTTCTCCTACCACCAAATGTCATTAAAGCAACTTATCCAGTCTTTCCACATAGCTCATATTCCAACACACAAAGATATATGCAGATTTATGATTATAAAAATATAGGAACTAGTCAAGACCATATTGCAATTTACCAAAAAAGTTTAATGTTCACAGGGTTCACACGTTTTTGCACAGACATTTGACCGACATTCAATACATTTAGGGATTACACTCTAATATTGCAAAACTAACTGTACTAAACTACAAGTCGACCTCCTCTCTAGTCATAGCATGTTCTACCCTCTCTCCCTATATTACTGTCCGAGGACCACAGCACCAGAAATAATGCTGTGATACAGAGCTTCATAAAGTTTGGTGTGGACACAGTAGTCGAGACGCCAGGAGGAACTGCGCAAGGTCAGTGAGAGACGCATTAAGACATTCACCAGAACGCTGTTAGTGGGGCTTATCAACAGCTATCTCCGGACACCTTCCTTCCTTATCACCACAGATACAATATCAGCGAACAGTCTATAGGTTGCCAGGTGGCCCTCCCGCGTGAGTAACAGCCATCTTGCATGAGTAACAACAGTCACTCACGTGAGTAACAGCAGTCTGTCACGTGAGTAACAGCAGTCACTCGCGTAACAGCAGTCTCCTGTGTGAGTAACAGTAGTCTTCCGCATGAGCGAGAAGACTCATGCGTGAGTGACATCTCTCTTGCGTTACATACTAATACACAAAGGTTGGGTTTCATCTCTTTGGTCCCGTCTCTCAACTGCCAATCAACTGATGTACAGGTTCCTGAGCCTATTGGGCTCTATCATATCTACATTTGAAAATGTGTATGAAATCTGTCTCCACCACATCATTGCGTAGTGCTTGCCACTTGTTTATGATGGGGCGGGATAAGGGCGCCCTACACATACTAAGCCTCCAACTGTCTTCCACAGGAAATCACTTCGTATGGGAGTTCCTGCCCGGGAAAGGGACGCTTAACGTTCCCAACGAGGTGGCCTTCCTCCACCACTACCGGGTGTGCGAGTTCGGAGGCGACGACTGCGTCAGGAACCCCCGCATCACCGACACGGCCATGTACCGCTATAAGGACACGCTGGTCAAGGCCTACACCACCAATATGAACCATCTCGCTCATGTTTGTGGACTTGAAACATCTAGCAAGGAAAAATCCGTTTGGACGCTGGGTTGAAGAAGTTGCTTGCGACAGTGGTGATGGTGAGTGAAAGAGAAGGTCGCCCCTGGCTGAGGGAGTTACCTCAGAGTTGAAGGTGCTACAGTGTCGTCGTCACGGACAATCTTTTGGATGATAACTGTGATTTTTGGTGGACGTTGTGGGTTGTGGCTCTCCAGGCGACACTGAAAATGATGATGATGACTGTCTTTCTCTCCCACTCTCAGCCCTCTGCCTCAGACGCTTGCCACTACCATTATTTTCACAGTTGGCTTCCATGCCTCCTTCAAGCAAGCCAGGTCAGCCAGCAGAGCCTGGTGAAAGCCAGGCAAGCCATCAGAGCCTGGTAAAAGCCAGGCAAGCCATCAGAGCCTGGTGAAAGCCAGGCAAGCCATCAGAGCCTGGTAAAAGCCAGGCAAGCCATCAGAGCCTGGTGAAAGCCAGGCAAGCCATCAGAGCCTGGTAAAAGCCAGGCAAGCCATCAGAGCCTGGTAAAAGCCAGGCAAGTCATCAGAGCCTGGTAAAAGCCAGGCAAGCTAGCAGAGCCTGGTAAATGTCAGGTCAGTCAGCAGAGTCTAGAAAAAGCCAGGTCAGCCAAGAGCCTGATAAAAGCCAGGTTAGCCAATAGAGCCGGGCCAGGCCAACAGATCCTGGTAAAATCCAGGTCAGCGAACAGAGTCTGGTAAAAGCCTGGTCAGCCAACAGAGCCTGGTAAAGCCAGGTCAGCTCACATATGATCGCACAATTACCCTGGGTCAGGAGAAGCCCTGATCTGCTCACTGGGTGCGCTAGTCTCCCAACACAGTCTCACTGCTGCAAGCAGTTGGATATTTAGCTAGACAAAGACTGTTTTCTAACAGCTTATTCGTTGTGTAAGCTTTAATAGTCAGCTTATTATATTGCTTCCGCTAAGTGTACAAAATGGCTCGGTTATCTACTGGGATCATCCAATGCCTGTTATTCTTGGTTGTTTCTTGTAGGGCGAGCAGGGGACGCGAGTTGGTGGGGCCTTGTAGCACTACACTCCACCACACATTAGTGGCACGAAGTGCACACGCACACGCACGCACAAACACACACAAACACACAGGGTTTTGTTTGCATATAGGAAAGCACCGCTGGTGGAGCATTACACAACCACCGCTCTCTGCGATGGTTCACTGCAACTCCTTCCAGTACCCATAACCACACTGCAACACCAACCACTGGCCATTCATCAAGCTTTGTTGAGCAGAGTTGGTTCACATCCATAACACCAACCAGCTACAGTCATCAACCTACAACCTGAAACATCAACCAGTTGATGCATAGTTGATATTCAGAATAGAATCAGTGCAGACAACTCTCATCCAAACAAGGTGCCTATTCACCCAGGTAATTTGCATCTAATTTGCCCTTAGAAGTACTGTATGCACTTTGGTAGCACGGCCCTGTGTAGTATATATATATACTACCTGGTAGTTATGCATCCATCTGGCCAGCCAGCATACGTGTACCCAACTGATATGCCATCCAGCACCCATGTGTCCAGCTGTCATGTGAACCAGCTGATGCCAGCCAGCTGGTGCGCCGACTAGCGCCGGTGTACCCAGGTTCGTGCCCTCTCACTCACACTAACACCTGTCAGGTATAGCCTTTCACACTGCCAAACATGTGGCCCACCTTCACCCTTGAGGCTCTTGGCCACACTACTGATCCTGGCCACCACACCTGCCAACACCAGCCTTGGCCACATTACTAAGTGAGGACTGAGTGAACACTGCCACTGGTTGGAAGACTGAGTGAACACTGAGTGAACACTGCCACTGGTTGGAAGACTGAGTGAACACTGACACTAGTTGGAAGACTGAGTGAACACTGACAAGTGGTCATGTCTGAAGGGTGACAATGTGAACATCTAACAGTTAACTGTTATTTCTCTCTCCATTCTCGGTCTTAGTTCTTAGTGGCGTGGTTTCCAGTGCCCTTGTTCTGTGGTCCCCATGGTTCCTGATACCTGGGTCTTATGGTCCCCATGGTTCCTGATACCTGGGTCTTATGGTCCCCATGGTTCCTGATACCTGGGTCTTATGGTCCCCCATGGTTCCTGATACCTGGGTCTTATGGTCCCCATGGTTCCTGATACCTGGGTCTTATGGTCCCCCATGGTTCCTGATACCTGGGTCTTATGGTCCCCATGGTTCCTGATACCTGGGTCTTATGATCCCCATGGTTCCTGATACCTGGGTCTTATGGTCCCCCATGGTTCCTGATACCTGGGTCTTATGGTCCCCATGGTTCCTGATACCTGGGTCTTATGGTCCCCATGGTTCCTGATACCTGGGTCTTATGGTCCTCGTGGTTCTAGGTCCCCGGGGTTTATGGTCCCCGGGGTTTATGGTTCCTGGGGTTTATGGTCCCTGGGGTTTATGGTCCCCGGGGTTTATGGTCCCAGGGGTTATGGTCCCCGGGGTTTATGGTCCCCGGGGTTTATGGTCCCCGGGGTTTATGGTCCCCGGGGTTTATGGTCCCTGGGGTTTATGGTCCCCGGGTTTATGGGGTTTATGGTCCCCGGGGTTTATGGTCCCCGGGGTTTATGGTCCCTGGGGTTTATGGTCCCCGGGGTTTATGGTCCCTGGGGTTTATGGTCCCGGGGTTTATGGTCCCTGGGGTTTATGGTCCCCGGGTTTATGGTCCCGGGGTTTATGGTCCCCGGGGTTTATTTATGGTCCCCGGGGTTTATGGTCCCCGGGGTTTATGGTCCCCGGGGTTTATGGTCCCCGGGGTTTATGGTCCCGGGGTTTATGGTCCCCGGGGTTTATGGTCCCGGGGTTTATGGTCCCCGGGGTTTATGGTCCCTGGGGTTTATGGTCCCCGGGGTTTATGGTCCCCGGGGTTTATGGTCCCCGGGGTTTATGGTCCCCGGGGTTTATGGTCCCCGGGGTTTATGGTCCCCGGGGTTTATGGTCCCCGGGGTTTAGGGTCCCCGGGGTTTATGGTCCCCGGGGTTTATGGTCCCCGGGGTTTATGGTCCCCGGGTTTATGGTCCCCGGGGTTTATGGTCCCCGGGGTTTATGGTCCCCGGGGTTTATGGTCCCCGGGGTTTATGGTCCCCGGGGTTTATGGTCCCCGGGGTTTATGGTCCCCGGGGTTTATGGTCCCCGGGGTTTATGGTCCCCGGGGTTTATGGTCCCCGGGGTTTATGGTCCCCGGGGTTTATGGTCCCTGGGGTTTATGGTCCCCGGGGTTTATGGTCCCTGGGGTTTATGGTCCCCGGGGTTTATGGTCCCGGGGTTTATGGTCCCCGGGGTTTATGGTCCCCGGGGTTTATGGTCCCCGGGGTTTATGGTCCCCGGGGTTTATGGTCCCCGGGGTTTATGGTCCCCGGGGTTTATGGTCCCCGGGGTTTATGGTCCCCGGGGTTTATGGTCCCCGGGGTTTATGGTCCCCGGGGTTTATGGTCCCCCATGGTTATGGTCCCGGGGTTTATGGTCCCCAGGGTTTATGGTCCCCGGGGTTTATGGTCCCCGGGGTTTATGGTCCCCTGGGTTTATGGTCCCCAGGGTTTATGGTCCCCGGGGGGTCCCCGGGGTTTATGGTCCCCGGGGTTTATGGTCCCCGGGGTTTATGGTCCCCCCCGGGGTTTATGGTGGGGTTTATGGTCCCCGGGGTTTATGGGTTTATGGTCCCCCCCCCGGGGTTTATGGTCCCCGGGGTTTATGGTCCCTGGGTTTATGGTCCCCGGGGTTTATGGTCCCAGGGGTTTATGGTCCCCAGGGTTTATGGTCCCCGGGGTTTATGGGGGTTTATGGTCCCCGGAGTTTATGGTCCCCGGGGTTTATGGTCCCAGGGGTTTATGGTCCCCAGGGTTTATGGTCCCCGGGGTTTATGGTCCCCGGGGTTTATGGTCCCCGGGGTTTATGGTCCCCGGGGTTTATGGTCCCCGGGGTTTATGGTCCCCGGGGTTTATGGTCCCAGGGGTTTATGGTCCCCGGGGTTTATGGTCCCAGGGGTTTATGGTCCCCGGGGTTTATGGTCCCCAGGGTTTATGGTCCCCGGGGTTTATGGTCCCCGGGGTTTATGGTCCCCGGGTTTATGGTCCCTGGGGTTTATGGTCCCGGGGTTTATGGGGGTTTATGGTCCCCGGGGTTTATGGTCCCCGGGGTTTATGGTCCCCGGGGTTTATGGTCCCCGGGGTTTATGGTCCCCGGGGTTTATGGTCCCAGGGTTTATGGTCCCCGGGGTTTATGGTCCCTGGGGTTTATGGTCCCCGGGGTTTATGGTCCCTGGGGTTTATGGTCCCCGGGGTTTATGGTCCCTGGGGTTTATGGACCCCGGGGTTTATGGTCCCCGGGGTTTATGGTCCCCGGGGTTTATGGTCCCTGGGGTTTATGGTCCCCGGGGTTTATGGTCCCAGGGGTTTATGGTCCCCAGGGTTTATGGTCCCCGGGGTTTATGGTCCCCGGGGTTTATGGTCCCGGGGTTTATGGTCCCTGGGGTTTATGGTCCCCGGGGTTTATGGTCCCAGGGGTTTATGGTCCCCAAGGTTTATGGTCCCCGGGGTTTATGGTCCCAGGGGTTTATGGTCCCCGGGGTTTATGGTCCCGGGGTTTATGGTCCCCGGGGTTTATGGTCCCCGGGGTTTATGGTCCCAGGGGTTTATGGTCCCTGAGGGTTCCAGGTAACATGGAAGACCTTTCTCCTTGGTGGGTTCCACTGAACATATGAAAATGTTTCGTGAACCGCTGCCGTAATTCTCGTTAGTCACTGACTCAGTTTTTGTTAGTTATACACAACACGAACGCCAAGTTCACCATGTTGAACTATGCTGAAATTACCATTACGAATTGCTTACGATATTTATCATTAAAATGTAAAACTGGTTCAGTGTCAAATACTATGTTTCTTTACTAATATGTTCTACAGTTTCAGCTAGACACACGCAATTCAACTTAATATTCTACAATAGTTTCAGTAACAAACAGCATATTTCTTCGAAACTTATATTAAAATCAAACCATTATACCTTTATAACTTATAATTTTCAGGAATATTATTATAAAATGAATGATGTTTTTCGTGAAAAAAATTATATTATCTTTAAAACCTTTTTTATAGTTTCTAGTCTGACAATTGTCGCAAGATATTAGTGATAATATTTAGATATATATTCCTCCCTCAAACACAGTGAAGCTCCATACATCTGGAGGGAAACGATAATAAAAGAAAAAACTAGAGACACATGGCAACTTTAATCCAAAAAAATGCCACCAGGATGTCATTGTTATTTTTAAATTATATAATTTTGTAATGAGAGGTAAAGTTGGCGGTGATGTTTGTTGTCCCTGGTCACGTGTCTGGTTTGTTTACTTAGACCAGCTGTTGATGACGTCACTTGATGAGGATGCTCCAGCTCTTGTGTCCCTGATATCATCAGTGTGTTGGTGACATCCTCAGTGTGTTGGTGACATCCTCAGTGTGTTGGTGACATCCTCAGTGTTGGTGACATCCTCAGTGTGTTGGTGACATCCTCAGTGTTGGTGACATCCTCAGTGTTGGTGACATCCTCAGTGTGTTGGTGACATCATCAGTGTTGGTGACATCCTCAGTGTGTTGGTGACATCCTCAGTGTGTTGGTGACATCATCAGTGTGTTGGTGACATCCTCAGTGTGTTGGTGACATCCTCAGTGTGTTGGTGACATCCTCAGTGTGTTGGTGACATCCTCAGTGTTGGTGACATCCTCAGTGTGTTGGTGACATCCTCAGTGTGTTGGTGACATCCTCAGTGTGTTGGTGACATCCTCAGTGTGTTGGTGACATCCTCAGTGTGTTGGTGACATCCTCAGTGTTGGTGACATCCTCAGTGTTGGTGACATCCTCAGTGTTGGTGACATCATCAGCGTGTTGGTGATATCTTCAGTGTGCTGGTGACATCCTCAGTGTTGGTGACATCCTCAGTGTGTTGGTGACATCCTCAGTGTTGGTGACATCCTCAGTGTTGGTGACATCCTCAGTGTTGGTGACATCATCAGTGTGTTGGTGACATCATCAGCGTGTTGGTGACATCTTCAGTGTGCTGGTGACATCCTCAGTGTGTTGGTGACATCCTAAGTGTTGGTGACATCATCAGTGCGTTGGTGACATCCTCAGTGTGTTGGTGACATCCTCAGTGTGTTGGTGACATCTTTAGTGCTCGACGGTCGAAGACACTTTTGTATACATAAAATAAAAATGTTACACATGTATGTTTTATTTATTATTTTCTTATCCTGATTGACTCAAGTCCTTGTAACACTGTACCCTCATAACCTGTCACACTGTACCCTCATATACTCTCCTGATATTAACTATTTACTAAGCACACACGTCGGCAACTTCAGAGGGAAATAGAATTAAAAAATAAATAGAATAAGTGATTAAAGTCACTTATTCTATTTATTAGTCAAGAGTCAGAAGTAAACAACAGGAGCTCAGTACCAACGAGGCCGCGGATGCTGCAGGAATGTTTTAATTCTTCTTGTTACATTGGTTTCAATTCTATAATCAAAGCTATAATAATAATAATTTTCACCATTAATTTAATTAACAGCATCACCACAATCGCTGTCATCACCAACATGGCCACCGCCAGTAGCACTGTCATCATTACCTTCACAATCTTAGTGTCATTCATCAACACAACACTATCATCATGGTGATCCTCAACACCATTATTATTACCCTGATCATCACTATAACCACTCTCATCACAGTCTCTCTCGGCTCTCACTAACTTGCTGTTATATTTGGTGTATTAACACCGAAGTCATGAGTGCCTTGGAAATGTAGCAGTTCTCCCTTTTAGATTAACTGTCAATGTCGCCGCGATTTCTCTCTCTAGAAGTCAATTAATCTTTAGAGAATTGAATATTCTTAGTTTGTCTCCTATATTTTGGCCGAGTGCAACTCTCATTCGCCGCAACACGCAAATATGGTAGTGCCAGCGGTAGACACCATCGACAGCCACATGGAATTCACTGAACAGATGAAGAAAATATAAAAATGTCTAGAAAATCCTATGCCGGATAAATAAAAGATCTTATTAGCCTCTGTCAAAAGTTTTCACAAAACAGATAAATGAGTCAAGTACGAACGATGATACTATCGATTAGATCTTTACGAATATTGGAGAGTTAGTCAAGGACATTACGACCTCACCACAAACTCAGTTGAGTTCAAATAATACCATGCATGATGTAACCAAACGACTTACCAAGCACGAAGGGCTCTTTATGTCAGTTCCAGCGCCAAAGGCATATTAAAAATTAACTCATCAGTGTTCATAATCTGCATACAATATGATTCTGTGAGAAATGTTCAAACAAGGTCCATCTCAAAAATAGAATGCAGACATCTCCCCAAAAGAATTTTTTCGCTGAAATGCTCAAGCAAAAGCAATTATACTACCAAATAAAAACTATAAACAAAGGGAGATTACAGAAGTAAAACAAAGGGTAAATAAACGTTTCACACGAGACAAGAAATAGCAAAACAAAATATAAATAAAATTATCCAAGAGATAACAAAAAAAAAATTAAACTACATTTTTAAATGCAAAATACAAATAAAAGAAATCTACCAGCAATGTTCAGGAAAGAACAATACAATATGATTTCCATTCAGCTGGGCAACACGAAAGTGAAAGACAGTTATTTCATGAGCGTTACTAAATCAACAAACCAAATATCTGATATGAACCACAAAACCCACACGCTTCATAACATTAAATGATAACTTTAGAAGACAAAACAAAATGCAAACTCATCACAGAATGACTGCTAATAAAATAAGTTTCAAAGGAAAAAAATTGTAAAAAAAAAAACCTGGTGGATCATGAATTTTCTCGCAGGTCACAACAATGGAAAATCAAACAAAAAATTCTTATTTACAACTGTAAGCGCCAAATGGAGGTCAACTCTCACCTCAATTCCATAGGTAATTAATCGTAACTGTTATATGTAACCACTCATCTTGTACTGACCCCAGAGCCACCAACACTTTCCTAACATGGCCAGATCTAATGTCAATATTCCATTTGAAGGAGACTGGTGATGGCAAGTTAAATTAAATCTCACAATCTTAAAGAAGAGGAGCAGGGAAATTTGATCACTATTTATAAAATACTAAAGGGTGGAAAGACAAGGTTCACAGAGCCAACCTTTTTAAATTTAGAGAAAATAGAACACAGAGACGTAAGTGGAAATTGTACACAACTGAGTCGAGAAAACGTAAGGAAATGGTCGTACCCTGTTCGAGAGGTCAACAAGTTGAATGACCTGAAAGTAGAAATTATGGAGACCGGCTTCATCTTCAAGAGCAGTTACAACAGAGAGCAAGAACGCCAGGAAAGTAAAAAAAAACAGCTAGTTTCATAAAGCCGTTGAACTTTATGAAGAGCTTGACCTCACTTGCCGTAAGTGACTGTTAGATAATAAGCATTAGTAAGCAAGCACCGCTGACCCAAACATTACAAGCGCTGTAGCTAACTCAGAAAACATTTGCCTCCCCTGCTGTCATCTAGTAGCTGATAACAATATGTTTTGAGTGATAAGCCCTTTCACTATCAGCGGAGTGTCGGGTGACGACGGCTGGTCGAGCCAGTGTCTCTACGAGCTCTGTGACAATAGCCGCTTTCTTGCAGACTGTCACCTGTTTGGCCTGGACGTGTTGTGTCAGCCCACCAACGCATCTATCACTCTTTCCCAGTCGGAGGTAATCGAAAGATAGAGTCCTGGCAGGACGAGGACAGGAGAGTAAAGCTCCTGAAGAACAAGCAGCGTAAATACCGCTCTGACGCTAACACTTTGCTATCTTCAGTGGCCACCTGAGTAATGACGGGATTCGTAATGCTGCCATAACGTACCCAGGTGGCAGCAGGTGTGATGGTTCGCCAGCATCCAGTCGTCCTGGTCTCGTATTTCTGTTGGAGCTCTCGACCAGCGCGGGCAGCCCTGAGACACTTCCTGCCGACGCTGTCTGGGATACTTTACCTCCACATATAACACAATGGAAATTCGACAATTGGAAGGATCTGTCTTTGAGATACAATGGAATGAGATGGGCGAAGGAGTTAGAAACTTGTGGCGGTGAAGCTGGTGTTGAGTAAATCTGAGTCATACATAGAATGCACATATTAAAAGATTGCTGAAACAGAATTCAAATTGAAAAATATCTGTGTAAAAATGGATATAATCCAAGAAAACACATATTTAATTTTATTAAAAAGTGATTTCAAAAACATTTGATAAGAATATATTTGTGAGCGATTTACGTTTCAAAAAGTGGAGTGCGCATCTGGTAAACGAAGGGGGTTGGGCATCTTGCCGCGTGGATGTAGTGTGCGCTGGAGGCTTGGAGTTAAGGGGCAAGTGGTGCAGGTGTGGAACGATGAAGCAGGTGCGAGGCGTGCTGAGGGCTGGACGATGGGTCTCCACATCGGTGCTTGGTCTCCTCTTGCTGTTGGCCGCGCTTGCAGGAGCTGCGGCCATCCAAGACCTCACAGCTCAACCACAGCTTAGTAGCCACCGTCTCGGGCACTCGGACACCACATCAGAGCCCTCGCCAGGGGTAGTGGCAGCCGCTGTGGTCATGGACGCTGACGGGGTCATGGACGCTGACGGGGTCATGGACGCTGATGGGGTCATGGACGATGACGGGATCATGGACGCTGACGTGGTCATGGACGCTGACGGGGTCATGGACGCTGACGGGGTCATGGACGCTGACGGGGTCATGGACGCTGACGGGGTCATGGACGCTGACGGGGTCATGGACGCTGACGGGGTCATGGACGCTGACGGGGTCATGGACGCTGACGGGGTCATGGACGCTGACGGGGTCATGGACGCTGACGTGTTTATCACGACGAGGAAAGACCAGGCGAAGCCCATCAGCTATGACGGCACGCCAGGATACGAAAATTCCGTGAGAATTAGTGCACTTTACGAAAATATAAACAGCCAGAGTTCTATAAGTGCAGCAGTCAAAGTTACGGAAGTAACATTGAATCAGACTACCATAACGTACGTTAATCAAACTGTCAACACAGTGACGCCTAATATATTAGATTCATTCGATTATACTAAGACACTCAAGGGCAAATGCTTCTGGAATTTTCTGGTTGGAGATTCTGAAGAAATACCCTTAGATCACCTAGATCCTCTCTTGCTTTATTTACCGTCACACGGGAGGTATGACCAGTCCTTAAATGAACAAAGATCAGAAGAGATTTTATATTCGGGAAAAGACTTTAGTCTTCCTGAGGGCTGCTTATACAAAGAGAGGGGACAGAAAACCGTCGTCTGCACGGGAACAAACATCACCGAGATTCCAGACTTCAATACGGCATGGGATGTAAAGATAAAGAATCTGATCTTCAACCTGACGGGGATTCAAACGGTGACGGACATCACACCCTTGCCCAGGTCACTCACCTCACTCTACTTCTCTAATGGACCTCTGTACCAGTTCAATGGGCAAAAGCTCGACCGGATACCAGGGCTAAACACCCTCTCTCTCGACTACAACACCCTCAACACCTTCAGCTTCGTCTCTGTCTTCAACTCGAGCGACCCACTTGGAGAAATTTCAATCAAGATCTTAAATCTAAAGAATAACCTTATCAGTTACCCTGTAAGTACAAAACCCTTCTTTCTTCATTTTTATAACATTTCGAAAATTATATGCGATCAATCTAAAACCAAAGACCGCGTGCAAAATTTAAATTTCATGTTAAATATACAAAATTCGAGAGGTAATACGTAAGTTAATGTTTAAAGTCAGTCAATATTTAATATTACTTTGTCCGTCCTCGGGTGGAGTTGATATCATATATATGAAAACTCGTCTTTCAACAACCTTTTAGATAATGAGATAACACTTCCTATAATTAGTATTACCTAGCGGAGATCGATAAGGCCATATTTATATTTATTAAAAGATATTATTTAGATATTAAACAAAAAAATTATAAATTCAATAATGATGTAAGCATTACTTGTTGTTAAACGTTAAGAGAAGTCAAGGCAACGACGAGGGAATAAACTGCGTGAGATTATGACACATATTTTCTCATTATAACACGCTCCTGACTGTCTAAGTCAGCTTTATTAACAACTGTAGTGTGGGTGTCAGCTTTAGTAAACATGAGCTATTCCTTTCATCTCACAAAAGTATCTATTCCAGTGCACATAGGTGACCACCATGTCAAGTGTATCTTGCACATACAGAGCTAAGTCCCCGGCTCTCTCTCTCTCAGTCTTCCCTTCCAAAAACTCCAAGCTCGCAATAATGAACCTGTCTTGCCTATAGGCCCTTACCTCACCACCCACGCTCTCCACATCCTCATTATTTCCATTTCAACGCCAATGTACTGAAGCAGAGGCAAAACCATTCTCTCACTAACCAAATAAATACTCAACTCATACAATTTGAGACCCTCAAAAAACAAAAAATAAACTTGTGAACATTCCATTCCTTACGCGCCACACTCTATTTCACGACGTGATATTCACCATAATGAGTTAGAAATTAATGTTACTCATTAATAAGGCGCTCTGCCATCGCTGCAGAATATCCTCCTCACTCCTTAATGACACAAAGCACTTATTCTCTCAAAAGCAGCGATAATTCACACTACATTCCCATATTTTACTCATTAATGAAAGATCTTTCCTCATAACACAAAGGGGGAGTAATTGAGATCACTGTTTCACCCAAGAATTATGAGGAACTACCTCACTACTCACCATATACGAGGCTCTAGTCCCACGTCGACATCCCGTTGCCTGCCCCACAGACCTGATCTTGGACAAGACATTCGAGACCCTTACACAATGTGTTAACATGGCGCTCCACGAGGAATTTGTTTGATGCCTCGACCCAACGACCGCTGGAGTCACTGCCAATGAGTCACAGGTACTCATACATGCATGGATCGCACCTTAGATTTTCTCTCCCGAACGTCCAGTCACTCGATCCTTTGCACCTGTCGGTATGAGGAGCCTGCAACGTTGTAATTACTTTATCACCTCTCGTGTTCTTGAGCCTATCCTGATAATGTATTCAGTGTCACTTGTGGTTCATTGGTCACATGTCTGTGTGAGGAACCATGCTGCCAGATGGGGTGAGGAAGGACGCCTTTAGTTATGACTGCACAGAAGTGAGCTTTGCGGTATATGAGGTTGGGAGCACCACCACACAAACACCACGCCACTTACCGATGGGTGAGAAGTGACGCCTTCTTACATATCGGCGTCAAACTAGCAGATAAATAACAGAAAACGGCACAAATACCGTTGATGGGAATGTGGGAGACACTAGAGGAGCAGCTAGGTGTCTCGGCCGCTGCTGATGGGCTTGCTTGACCCCTCAATTGATTCTGTTGTTTTCCGTGACAAATTTGTGTAAATTCATACAGGTCCATATAATATGATTGTTGAATTTTGCTATGTCCTCAGGCGGAATAATAAGTTTTCCCGACATAAGAAATACCCAAGCGGTATGGTTGTTGCTAATTAATTGTACCTATCTTTTATGATTATTAGGGGGACAAAAAAATCTATATTTTACGTAAGCTGCATTTATAGGTGAGTAGATGTTATTAGTTTCAACGTACGAAGTTAAATTATGGGTCACTGTATCCAAGGGTTTTCAACTCATTGATTATAAATGGGTTAATAAATGCATGCAATGTACACAAGGTGATGCAAATGTATTCAGTATTCTTATAAAAAAGTGAAATAAATATTCTAATTTCTACAGACCCATAACAATTGCCACGACAAATTATGAAGTTGTTGAGATTGGGATAATAGATACAATTTAAGATATCTTAATGACTATGAACTATCAATACTGGTTCAAAATGTGACACGGATAAGATATGATGTTAATCTATGATTTCTTTCAGAACTAAGATAAATACAACAAAAGAAGTTCCCAATCCCTTCCCAGGTGTCTTAGGTACTCAGAAATACAGTGACTGCGCGAAGTACTGGAAATCAGTTCGGTAACTAAGAAGAATTATTATAGCACTGTGTACTGTGGACCAGTTTGTGTTCCAATGTGTTTAACATGGGAGTGATTAGCAGTGGGTCAGGCTACTTCAGGGGTGATCACGTCTACTGGTCCCCTCCTCTACGTGGCGCACTCACCATACATTTATACTTCATGGTGGCGCACTCACCATACATTTATACATCATGGTGGCGCACTCACCATACATTTATACATCATGGTGGCGCACTCACCATACATTTATACATCATGGTGGCGCAATCACCATACATTTCTATCTTGCAAGAAGTTTTAATCATGCAGCTACACTACGCAGCAGTATATGTGTGTGTGTGTGTGTGTGTGAGGAGGAGTGTGAAGATGTGTGTGTGTTACAGCCGGAGCCGCACGGCACCAACGAGACGGTGCTGCCCCGCCTGGAGGTGCTCATCATGAACAACAACCCAATGTCTAACTTGCCGGGGAAGCTCTTCAAGCCTCTCAGGAACAGCCCAGTTACCAGCCTCTTCCTCAGAAACTGCTCCCTCGGACAATTTTGTAAGTACTCACCTAGTTGTGTTTGCGGGGGTTGAGCTTCGGCTCTTTGGTCTCGCCTCTCAACTACATGCACACTCTCGTCTTATTGAGGAATCATCTTACTCCTTCTAGTGTTTTTTGCATCTATAAATCTATGTTATTCTTCATGTATTTGTTGCCCTAAACTCTACTTTTTCTGGAGAGGAGTGATTTTTTTTTGGGAGTTTGAGTTGACTAAATATCGGTGCTTTATAATGCTAACATCAACTCTTTAGTTAATAAGTTGGTTGATTGACGACCCTCCACCGTCTCTAGCGTATATAACACGCAACACATTCCTATGTTGCTGACTCTCACGCAACACAGCTCTGTGTTGCTCTGACTCACGCAACACAGCTCTGTGTTGCTCTGACTCTCACGCAACACAGCCCTGTGTTGCTGACTCTCACGCAACACAGCTCTGTGTTGCTGACTCTCACGCAACACAGCTCTGTGTTGCTGACTCACGCAACACAGCTCTGTGTTGCTCTGACTCTCACGCAACACAGCCCTGTGTTGCTGACTCTCACGCAACACAGCTCTGTGTTGCTGACTCTCACGCAACACAGCTCTGTGTTGCTGACTCACGCAACACAGCTCTGTGTTGCTCTGACTCTCACGCAACACAGCTCTGTGTTGCTGACTCTCACGCAACACAGCTCTGTGTTGCTGACTCTCACGCAACACAGCTCTGTGTTGCTGACTCTCACGCAACACAGCTCGCGACACTCTACCGTCAGTATTCTCTAATCCATTGATGTATAGATGTTGCAGCTGTCTTGAGTATCATCGTAACAGACATTAAATGTTGGTAAGAAATGACCTTACACATCTCCACCCTGCACGCCATCATCCTGCACGCCCCCACCCTGCACGCCCTCACCCTGCACGCCCCCACCCTGCACGCCCCCACCCTGCACGCCCCCACCCTGCACGCCCTCACCCTGCATGCCCCCACCCTGCACGCCATCATCCTGCACGCCCCCACCCTGCACGCCCCCACCCTGCACGCCCTCACCCTGCATGCCCCCACCCTGCACGCCATCATCCTGCACGCCCCCACCCTGCACGCCCTCACCCTGCATGCCCCCACCCTGCACGCCCCCATCCTGCACGCCCCCACCCTGCACGCTATCATCCTTCACGTCCCCACCCTGCACGCCATCATCCTGCACGCCCCCACTCAGCACGCCCCCACCCTGCACGCCCTCACCCTGCACGCCCCCACCCTGCACGCCACTACCCTGCACGCCCCCACCCTGCACGCCCTCACCCTGCACGCCCCCACCCTGCACGCCCCCACCCTGCACGCCATCATCCTACACGCCATCATCCTGCACGCCATCATCCTTCACGCCCCCACCCTGCACGCCCCCACCCTGCACGCCCCCACCCTGCACGCCCCCACCCTGCACGCCATCACCCTGCACGCCATCATCCTTCACGCCCCCACCCTGCACGCCCCCACCCTGCACGCCCCCACCCTGCACGCCCCCACCCTGCACGCCCCCACCCTGCACGCCATCATCCTACACGTTTCCGCGCTATATAGATCCAGGAAGTTATACATATATTGAGCGTTCACCAACACACCTTCCTAGCGGAGCCCATCATCCTGGTCTTACATTTCTCATAACGCTTTTCTTACGTTCAACATGGTCACTCTGCGAACCATTGCCATCTTCACCTTCCACGCCACATCGTGCACATGGACATCTTGCACGTCTCACGCTAAACACCTTCACACTTCCCTTATGTCACCCTGCGTTATCACACCCAGTAGCCACGTCCAAGAACTAACTCCTCCAAACTTGTGTCAACAGCGGGGTCGCCGCTGGAGTACCTGAAGGGGCTGAAGGTGCTGGACCTGAGCAAGAATATGGGTCTGTCGGTGGAGGAGCTGAAGGAGCTGCTGGTGCCGCTCGCTGGGGCCCACCTCGAGCAGCTCTTCCTTAGTAACAACAACTATATCATGGTGCCCACTGCAGCCCTCGAGCAGGTGAGTTATAGCTGTCCATCATAACCCAAAGCTACCAGCACAACCCTCTGCTGCCCACCACAACCCTCTGATGTCCAAAACAACACTTTACTACCCACTACAACTCTCTACTGCCCATTACAACCCTCCGCTACTCAGGGGTTGCCGAAGTTTCTCTTCAGTCTCTCCTTGCGCTCGCGTCCTCTCTGTGTATATCTCTATATTAGCTAGTGTCACAACACTAAACCACACACTACATTTAACTCGTTAGCTAACTCACAACAACCCTATATTTAATTTAACTTTGGCCTGTTATTTCCTTCATGGAACACCGAGGCTCCTGTCTTTCTCCGGTCTTTTCCTGCTGGGCTGAAATAAAGGTGTCATCATACTGTTTATAGTTACCTTACATACGTCTGTGCAGGTCCCCAGCATACTTATGATGATTCGTCCTCCGTTGCAGGTGAACGAGACGCTGCAGATGTTGGACTTGCACGGCTCGGCCTTCGAGTGCCTGGACAACACTTCCTTTCCTCTCATGGCCAACCTTAAAACCCTCAACCTTATGTACAGCCGCATCAACGTGGTAAGTCATCACACCTGCCTTAAGTATGGCTAAATAACCTTGGTGCAGCTGTACCGTAACTTTGACGCAGCTGCACCATAACACTGACGCAGCTGCGCCATAACACTGACGCAGCTGCACCCCGACTTCCTATAAACCCAGATGAGTTCCTCATATAAGACTGTCTCAACAGATCCGCTACGACACCTTCCAAGGCTTCCCGGCGCTGCAGGAACTCAACCTAGACGGCAACGGGCTGATGACTGTACCGAGCGAGGCCCTCCTGCCCACCCTCACGGTACGCCCACACTACCGCAGGTACCTTCCTAGTCCCACCGGGTACCTTAACTCCAGTAGGTATCTTTCCCTTGCCTTCAGTGGATATTTTCCTCTTCGTAAGTTTCACCCCTTTACCTTAATGGGTAACTTTTCTTAGCTACATATTCCGTCTTGCTCTTTCTCTCTCCTTCCTCGTTTACTTTATATATTCTTCTTTCTATATCCTTCTTCCTCTTCTCTGTTATCTTGTCTCTTTATGTACTCTAACAATCTCTCTCTTTCTCTTTCACTCAGTAGTAGATGAGAGAGAGAGAGAGAGAGAGAGAGAGAGAGAGAGAGAGAGAGAGAGAGAGAGAGAGAGAGAGAGAGAGAGAGAGAGAGAGAGAGAGAGAGAGAGAGAGAGAGAGAGAGAGAGAGAGAGAGAGAGAGAGAGAGAGAGAGAGAGAGTGTGTGTGAGTGTGTGTGTGTGTGTGTGTGTGTGTGTGTGTGTGTGTGTGTGTGTGTGTGTGTGTGTGTGTGTGTGTGTGCACGCGCGTGATAATCTGGGGTCCAATATAATTACTCCATGGATTAGGTGATCTCATAATGGGTTTTTTAATTATTTAATTAGTGTTATTATTATTATTATTATTGGTCGGGTTAATAATTCTTTCGTTATTCATGAACTCCAAGACAAAGACACACTAGAGGAAGTCAATGTCTAGTACAAGACAAAGCCCATACGATAGTCTTGTTTTCTTAATTTCTTTGTTTCTAACATCTGAAATCACTAACAAATGAAATTCTTACTTATTTCATCTAACTCTTCCCCCCCCTCTCTCTCTTGCCTTCTATCTTCTCTTATGGCAGCCTTGTCCCTGCCTGTGTGTGTAGTATGTCAATAACTGTATGTGAGTGGTGAGTGACCTGGTGGTGTTGATGACAGGTGTTGACGCTGAGTGGCAACCCCCGCGCCGTGGGCAACAGCGCCCAGGGAACCTTCGACCTGGACACTGTCGACTTCAGTAACATGGCCAAACTTCAGAATCTTAGTTTCGAAGAAGTAAGTTCAGACATTATTTGGTCTCTTGTTCTTTATATCTCTCTCTCTACCCCTGTCTCTCTTCTCCTCCTCCTCCGCTCCTATTTTTTATTTATCTCTGTTTTTTTGTAATTGTTGTTGTCTGGTTTTTGTTTTTCAATTAGTTTGTTCCTTGTGACTGAGTCTAATTGAGTCTTGTTGTCGTCACAAACGTTCAGTGTGTTTGTTATTGGTCACAGAGCGTGTCACTGTTGTGTAAGGGAGTGTCCTTGTTATCGCTTCTCATTGGTACAATGCCATGATATTTCTTGACCTTGATGTTGTCTCTACATTTCTTTACAATCTCCTAATAAATTATTATTTGGTGTGTTATGGATGAGTAACTTTTGTTTAGGTTCTTACGTCCTGGAGGTTTGTGTTGTTTTGTGTCCACTTTTGACATGTTCAGTCCCAGCTGGCGCCACACGTGTCAGTCCCAGCTGGCGCCACACGTGCCAGTCCCAGCTGGCGCCACACGTGTCAGTCCCAGCTGGCGCCACACGTGTCAGTCCCAGCTGGCGCCACACGTGTCAGTCCCAGCTGGCGCCACACGTGTCAGTCCCAGCTGGCGCCACACGTGTCAGTCCCAGCTGGCGCCACACGTGTCAGTCCCAGCTGGCGCCACACGTGTCAGTCCCAGCTGGCGCCACACGTGTCAGTCCCAGCTGGCGCCACACGTCTCAGTCCCAGCTGGCGCCACACGTCTCAGTCCCAGCTGGCGCCACACCTGTCAGTCCCAGCTGGCGCCACACGTGTCAGTCCCAGCTGGCGCCACACGTCTCAGTGCCAGCTGGCGCCACACGTCTCAGTCCCAGCTGGCGCCACACGTCTCAGTCCCAGCTGGCGCCACACGTCTCAGTCCCAGCTGGCGCCACACGTGTCAGTCCCAGCTGGCGCCACACGTGTCAGTCCCAGCTGGCGCCACACGTCTCAGTCCCAGCTGGCGCCACACGTGTCAGTCCCAGCTGGCGCCACACGTGTCAGTGCCAGCTGGCGCCACACGTCTCAGTGCCAGCTGGCGCCACACGTGTCAGTCCCAGCTGGCGCCACACGTGTCCTTGGGCCAGGCAACCTGTCCTCAGGCGAGGCTCGTTAAAGCGGCGGCCGTCCTTCAAAACCCATTCATAAATTTTAATATACTATGTAGTAAAACAGGTTTGTTCTCATATATTAGTTAATATTATTATAAATTAAAGATCATTGTATTGTTAGGCGTAGGTTAGGTTAGTGCAGTCCTTCATCAATGTCTTGACCATTAAAGACGCATCCAATAACATCCCAAGCATCAGTCAGTTACTTTAACACAACAAGAGTTTAATCAGGCCTAACCCCGAGCCAGCCATTGACTTCTCACTGTAATGTTGCTTCATTTTTCTCTCTTCAATCGCTACTTCCAGAACTGTTAAGAACATGTTTGGTGTGGCATCACTCACACTGAAGCTTCTACGGTCACCCTCTCTTGCACCAAGCCAAGAGCTCAATGCTTCGCTGTCTTATTATTCCTCCCACAACCATAGTGTGGAATGAACTTGCAAGAACCGTCGGTGAAGCATTTTCCTGACCTCTGGCCAATGTTTAATCTTTCAAGTTTATGCACTTTTAGTGCACAATTTCTGTCTTTGTGTTAAACTATTACATAACGATTAATTTGTCCATATACAGGTACCACTGAGAAAGGTGAAGGTCTCCCACTTCAATGCCCTAATTGACCTCCGCGTCCTCCACCTCTCAAACTGCCAGATCTCATACATCGAGCCCCTCAGCTTCAGGTAAGCCCGTCGTTCCCTCTCCTTGGTCCTGGAATCTATTTCTTCCCCTGTTTCTTTCCCCATTACTTGCCTGTCTTCTTCCATATATATATACCTTTTCACTATTTTTATACCATTTGCACTCAACATGAAGCATTGTCTCTCCAGACAAGTCGTTCATATATACGAGGAACAGTAGAGGCTCCAGGAGGGCTGCTTGGGGAACTCCACTGGCCACGGCCTCCCTTCTCACATCTTTCTCTATGTAGACCCGCGTTTTGTATATCCCAATAAGCTTTCCTCTCTCTCTTAACCCTTCTTGTTCACTTCTCTAGGTTATCTTTCTCTGTACAACCATATTGAAAGTTGGGAGCAGGTGTGTGTGTGAGTGTGAGTGTGGGAGCAGGTGTGTGTGTGGGAGCAGGTGTGAGTGTGGGAGCGGGTTACTATCTTCTTCTTGAGGTTATTTTGAGATGATTTCGGGGCTTTTTAGTGTCCCCGCGGCCCGGTCCTCGGCCAGGCCTCCAACCCCAGGAAGCAGCCCGTGACAGGTGACTAACACACAGGTACCTATTTTACTAGGTAACAGGGGCATAGGGTGAAAGAAACTCTGCCCATTGTTTCCCGCCGCCGCCTGGGATCGAACCCGGGACCACAGGATCACAAGTACAGCGTGTTGTTCGCTCGGCCGACCGGCTCCTTGGTACAAAACTGTCTGGTACAAATTCCTGACCCTTACGTGCTTTAACATGAAATATTGTAAACTATTTATAGAGTTAAGACTCCATTATCTCGTTTTTTATCACAATCCACTTGCTAAATACATTACAAATTCTTCCTGACATGTGGTGCTTCTGGCTAAGAACTACCACCTGTGTCCTCTCCTGCTCCCACTCTTGCCTCACAATCTCTCCACTTTACTTCAATGCTCATTCGCTTATAGATACATACGCTCTCCTAAAGCGAAACTTAAAAATAATGGGCTTGTTTCTCTTAATAATAACACAATCTAAGATAAAATGATCAAACTTAAGCTATGATCCGACCTAACTCAAGTTCCCAGTGATCAGTGATCAGGGGTCATATTACAGCGACAGATCAAAGCAACGATACACGCCTTTATTCTCAGTTAAGAGTGGTCTGTGATGCTGGTGTTGAGAATATGCTTTTTAATCTGAGAATACTGTCAAATATTATGCAGAATATGCAGAGTTGATAATATTCAGTTTATTTACAGTAACTTTAAAACTTCCTATTTTGAAGGTATTGTATCTGTATGTCTCCAAACTTATTTACATTTTTGGTTTTCAGAAATTTGTCGAAGTTGGAGAAGCTCTACTTGATGGGAAATGCAATTCAAATCCTCAGTAATGAGACATTTACTGGTCTCATCAGCCTCACATATCTCGACCTTTCGGACAATACTATCATTTTCCAAACTAATCAAGGCCCCACCTACATGGCCCCAAGAGTCCCCCTCTCGTCAACCGCTGGAACACACAGGTTCTCAGACATGCCCACTGCTCTTGTCAAGGGTAACCACGACAATTCACGCTCTAAGCGTCGCGCGCGTGAAAGTGATAAGTTGTTCAACCTTTATCTGTCAATGATCAGGACTAGTACCCAGCAGGAGAGAGGAGAAGGGCAAGTGCACAAGCCACAAAGGGGATATAAGGAACAGTTATACACATTTCTTCCGTTTAGGGGACTCAAAGAGCTTTCATATCTCGACTTGTCCAAAAACGATATACGAAACATATTCCCTGAGCTTTGGAATGACCTGAGTCATCTTACTTACCTACTTCTAGACTCCAATAATATCAAAGAATGGGATGAACCAAACTTTTCCAACAACACTAAATTAGAGACCCTCTCACTGACGAGAAATTCGCTCACTACTGTAACGCAGGCGATGGTGCAGGACTTCAATAAAGAAAGTCTGATGATGGTGGACCTCCGTTTCAACGAGTTCCAGTGTGGGTGTTCCATAACGAACTTTAACGGTACCCTTAACAGAACACGCTTCGCTTATTGGTCATCGTACCGTTGTACTGAGAACGGTCACATGCTGACCTTCGGCGAGTACATGAAGAACGCCACCTGCAAGGACAACTCCAACAACTCCACAAGTCACTACGCAAACCACGGCATCAGAATTGTCATCATCAGTGTGTCCGTCGCACTATCTCTGGTCATGACGGTGGTGACGGTCTACTCTAAATGGTGGTGAGTATTACCTCGCTTTTCCAAGTTGTTATTAATATAAGACCATGTATATCTTAAGGCACAAGGGTGTCATTGTCTTCTTTCTTGCGCAAGGTGTAACTCTATCAACCTCTGTTACATGGGGTATTTACTCAACATACAAACATCATTAATGTAAGTACTTACCATAAATGTTCGAATTCATCATTTGATTTCAAGTTAAATAAAACACTGGCTACCTGCTATGGAACACTTGGGCAGCCTTGGTGGCTAAGAGGATTAGGTGACGAGAGGATTTCTCTTAGAGCTGATTGGTAAGTCGAGTGGGGATCACATCTTCCAGTCTGAAGTTTAAAGTCAGATATCAGGTGGAGCGCCAGCTGGTGACGATGCACCAAGACATCAGATATTCACCAAGAACAATGAATCACAGCCAGGCCAAGAGGATACTGGGAGGCCCAGGGTTGCCAGAGTGGGCTAAAAAGCAACGGACTTGTACAAGAAGAGTGAGCTGTTGAAGCACAGTTAATGTTATTGTATAGTCGTACCGACGGCCCAACGTTCTGATTACCGTCAATAAGAACGTTGGAATGGAGGATCTCCATTTCGCTGGAATAGTGATCACATTCCCAATCCTGCAGTAAGTCTACTTTCGGTTCCTGAGACTTTCCCTGCTGTAGGGGGTACCTGTCAGTAGATGTGAGGCCTGCTCTCTCCCACAGGTACGTGCGCTACGTCATCTACAACATCAGGATACGGACGATGACGCATAAGGCAGAGGGCGACAAGTATCTCTACGACACCTTCGTCTGCTACTCCCAGAGCGACCGGCAGTGGGTGTTCGAACATCTCCTGTTGAAGCTTGAAGATGGAGGGAGGTAAGCTTGCACTTGTGCCTCCACCATGCTTATTTTATACTATATGTATATAAGCAGAGTGCTGCTAATGAAGCAAGTAGCAGCACTCTGCTGCTACTTGTTGCACTCTTGCCTGCTGTTTGATCACAGAAAAATATGTGAAAAATAAAGAAAACATCAGGTTTAGTGACAAATATTTATAATATGCTCCCTCGTATTTTTCCTTGTGCGTGCAGGTACCGAGTGTGTGTACACGAGCGAGACTTCACGGTGGGCCAGGAGATCACAGAGAACATCATCAGCTGTATTGAGCTCTCCCGCAAGGTGAGGCGCTGGACACCATGATGTTTGCGGCACCCTCTCGGCTGCTACTTGCTTCACGCTCTCGGATGTTACTTGCTTCAAGCACTCTGCTACTACTTGCTTCACTCACGTCTGCTACTTGTTTCACCTGTCATTACTTACTGTTGTGCCCAGCCTATAACTCGTTAGTGTTGCATCATTCTCTCCTTCCCTACTGCAGCTTGTTTTAGCCTCACCGAAGCACAATATCCCGCCTCCCTCTCTATCAACCGTTACTCACCTCACTCACTAGTTACTCTACTCTTCTAGATGGGCCTGTCACCCGAGCCACGCCTAGTACTAGTTTAATTATATCATTGTGTGCTCTCGTGACTTGTAACTTTTAACATTTAATGTTGTGTAACGCGTTATCTTCCACCGCCTCACTTATTCTCACCCATTGCAAATATTGACGACTCTTACACCGAAGAAGTTTCTTCTCACATCCTCGTTACCATCTCGTGGTGATTCTTTCCTAGCGCGCACACACACACACACACACATTAAGTGAGAAGGTGGTGGAGGCCAAACCCGTCAGTAGTTTCAAAGCATTATACGACAAAGAGTATTAGGAAGACGGGACACCACGAGCGTAACTCTCATTCTGTAACTACACTTAGGTAATTACACACACACATACATGGTGCTGAATACTGCAACCTGTTTCAGTACTTGCAGTTAGGCCTAACACCCCGCGCAACATTACAAGGTGTGGTGTTAGAGTGATGCATCACGTTGTCTCCTGCAGGTGATTGTTGTGTTGACGCCCGCCTTCGTGGAGAGCAGCTGGTGCATGTTCGAGCTGCAGATGGTCAGCAACAGGATACTGGACGAGCGCAAGTGCAAGCTCATACTGGTGCTGCTGGAGTGTATTCCAGAGGAGAAGCAGACCAAGAAGCTGCGGCTCCTGCTCAAGACCCGCACTTACCTCGCCTGGGTTACCGACGCCGAAGGACAGCGACTCTTCTGGGCCAGATTACTCAAGACTATTTCTAAGCCCTTAGCCACCGAGGCGGCCGTGTACACGAGCCACATGTAGTCCATAACTTGTCGTCCTGCCTCTCTCTCACTTCCTACTGCACGCCTAGTCTTTCCCACCACGAGACTTTCCCACCAGTAGCCTTTCCCACCAGTAGACTTTCCCATGGGAATGCCTCACTTCCTGCCCTGCCAACTTCACGGGGAGCGTCCACAGTCCTTATACATTAACAACCACCCGCCATATGTAAGTCTCACCTTCATCTTGAGCTGTCACCATTGTCACCATCAGTTACAGACACCATCACTCACAGTAGGTCACCACAGCGCGCCCCGCTCATCACCATCGCACTCTGTCTTGCAGTTCGATTAAGATAGGTAGTGTTAAGATGCTTTAGTTAAGGTTTAAGTTTAAGTTAGTACGGATCGCCTTTAAAAACATTTGTGTGTGTAGCAAATTTTAACAGGCCATAATGTCAGCCGTTACCACTGTAGCACACCTGGCCACCGCCACCACTGTAGCACACCTGGCCACGACCACCACTGTACCACACCTGGCCACCGCCACCACTGTACCACACCTGGCCACGACCACCACTGTACCACACCTGGCCACGACCACCACTGTACCACACCTGGCCAATGTGGTCTATGGGAGTAACGGCTGATGACGGCGGTGTTACCAGAGTCGTTATATCGGATGCGTCACCTGGTGACGGTTCTGTAGTCCTCTCGTGCTTTTAGCTCTGTCTATTAGAATTTCAGTTGCTATTGGTCGGTCAGAAAGCATACTTAAGTAGCGTCTACTACACGCTGATGAGCGTGCTATACTTAACGCTGTAAATCCTCTCTACCTCCAACAGGCGCGCAAGGCTGACACACAGCCCTCAATAATAGCTGACCTCAGCGAGGCAGAGGACCAATCATCTTATATTATAGTTTATATAATAGTTGTCCCTCTTAAAATTAAGAGGGACAAACACAGGGTGTAGCGTGCCTGGGAGTGAAGGTATTGTGCGGTGCATCATGTTGGGATGACTTGGGCTCTCAGGGTACATGTTCCTAGCTACATAAATGTTGGTAATGGAATCCTAGCGAGTGCTTTCTAGCTTTACTTACTGTCCCATCAAACTGGGATTATAAAATACTCTAGTTCACGCTAGTCAGGAAAAATGACTCCCAAATCTTTATTGCATTCTGCAGGTTATGTAAGCCGCCCCCCCTTGTCTTCCACACTGCCACACCTGTTGTCCTCCACACTGTCACACCTGTTGTCCCCCACACTGTCACACCTGTTGTCCTCCACACTGTCACACCTGTTGTCCCCCACACTGTCACACCTGTTGTCCCCCACACTGCCACACCTGTTGTCCTCCACACTGCTACACCTGTTGTCCTCCACACTGCCACACCTGTTGTCCTCCACACTGCCTGCCACACCTGTTGTCCTCCACACTGCCACACCTGTTGTCCTCCACACTGCCACACCTGTTGTCCTCCACACTGCCACACCTGTTGTCCTCCACACTGCCACACCTGTTGTCCTCCACACTGCTCTAGAACTGCACCACTACTTACTGTTTGACAAATGTTCGACGGGCGCCACAGTGAGGGTCAACAGGCACTGTGACACCGTAGACCATCACAGTCTCACACACCTTCTTGAGCGCCTGGCACCAACCTCTTTACCAACTGTACTGGTCATTGTGCAGTGCTGGGATGGGCTCACCACATGGGCTCACCACATGGGCTCAATGTGAGGGCTCATATTATGGGCTCAAAATATTAATGTAATGTTCCACAACGTGTTACACATGCTATATTTTTGTCGAATAATACCTGAGAATACTGGTTATAAATATAAAACTGAATGTAAATATAATTACACATTATTTGGGAAAAACTTTTTTCATTTTTATTGTCACCCGTCAAAGTTGTGTGTGTAAATATTGTGTAGTGAGTGTGTTAGACGGGAGAGTAGGTTAGCGAGGGGTGCCCGTCTCCTACTGATGCCTGTCTAGTGGTTAACACACCCTCCTCACTCCTCATTAAGGGTTAATGAACCATATATTGAGACTAATAAACATGTTAATATACACTATATCTCTGATGTTCGTTTGTATAGTTTGTTCTCCGAAAATATTAACCAGGCGAGAACAACGGTGTACACTGTTAGTGAATGAAAGCAAGTAAACCCATGTAGATCAAAAGGGATAAATGTGAATAATAGTAACACATTCCAATGTAGATATTTCAGTGCAAATTATCTCCAGAGAGAGACACGCACCTAGGCCCAGGACCACAAGCCCAGGACCACAAGCCCAGGACCACAAGCCCAGGACCACAGGCCCAGGACCACAAGCCCAGGACCACAAGCCCAGGACCACAGGCCCAGGACCACAAGCCCAGGACCACAGGCCCAGGACCACAAGCCCAGGACCACAGGCCCAGGACCACAAGCCCAGGACCACAAGCCCAGGACCACAGGCCCAGGACCACAAGCCCAGGACCACAAGCCCAGGACCACAGGCCCAGGACCACAAGCCCAGGACCACAGGCCCAGGACCACAGGCCCAGGACCACAAGCCCAGGACCACAAGCCCAGGACCACAAGCCCAGGACCACAAGCCCAGGACCACAGGCCCAGGACCACAGGCCCAGGACCACAAGCCCAGGACCACAGGCCCAGGACCACAAGCCCAGGACCACAGGCCCAGGACCACAGGCCCAGGACCACAAGCCCAGGACCACAAGCCCAGGACCACAAGCCCAGGACCACAAGCCCAGGACCACAGGCCCAGGACCACAGGCCCAGGACCACAAGCCCAGGACCACAGGCCCAGGACCACAAGCCCAGGACCACAAGCCCAGGACCACATATCCAGGACCACAAGCCCAGGACCACAGGCCCAGGACCACAAGCCCAGGACCACAGGCCCAGGACCACAGGCCCAGGACCACAAGCCCAGGACCACAGGCCCAGGACCACAAGCCCAGGACCACAAGCCCAGGACCACAAACCCAGGACCACAGGCCCAGGACCACAGACCCAGGACCACAGGCCCAGGACCACAGACCCAGGACCACAAGCCCAGGACCACAAGCCCACCCCTCCACAGTGTTCCTGCTGGCCTCTCACCACTCATCAGCCCCCTGGTCTCCTTCACTTTAGTTAGGGCTCCGTTGTACAGTTCCTCTATAATAGTTCCCTTTGTCCAGAACAGGAAACCGTTTAGGCTTATAGAGAACCCCCCCCCCACCCCTAGACAACTACGTATTATCACCCAAGAAACACCCCGCAACAGCTGCCAAACTGCCAGGTTTGTGTTTACTGTTAGGTGAAGATCAGGCACCAGGTGTGAGGCAACACCTTAGCTGACTACACTAAGTCACGTCACGGGAAGAGGATCTCTTGCTCTCATAGATCATGTGTTGGCTTTGTAGCAAAGAATTAGCACTTAGGACTTCACCCTAAGTCTGAATTCATGAACGACGCTCCACTCTGGTTTCTTGCCACTAGCGTGAGAAGACCTGTTTACACCACTCTCTTGCCGTTACAGCACGTATATTAGAGTCGAGTTGGTAGTTATGCCGCCTAAATGATGTCCAGTTGTTGTTAAGCATCTGCGAGTTGTTAACTATGTTGTCACCCATTGTTTCATGATGGCGGCGTGACTGAGTGTTTGGGGGAGAACAACACCTGCGGTCTTCACACCTCAGGAGATTCTGTGCTACCAAAGGTGTTGGAAGCTGGAGACTCCACACACTTATGGACATCTCCTCACCTGTTGGCCACATAATTCATCCAACCATCTTTGCAAAATAAAAATAATATAAATTTCTCTAAATATATTGGTATAGTTTACAATTAAGACATTCAACTGGGCACTTTGTCTTATCACTAATTAGTACATTAATCCACTATACAATGTTTGCTTTCGTTCTCGACTCGCATCGTGGATCCCGGATTCGATTCCCGACTGGGACCGATATAGTTGGGCAAGTTTTCCTTCACCTAATGCTTTTGTACACCTAGCAGTAAATAGGTTCCCCGGGAGTTAGGCTACTGCAATGGGATTGTTGCATCCTTGGGAGAGTCAGCAGTTGAGTCCCCCCCCCCTCCCCCCCCCAGGGTCGCGGGGAGGGACTCAAGCATATACTGTGTATATATATATATATATATATATATATATATATATATATATATATATATATATATATATATATATATATATATATAATGCCTCGTGATGTGTAGTGCCTCGCTTATGTCGAGCCGCCTGCTATCGCTGTACCTATCGATGATTTCTGTGTTGTTTGATGAGACTTCTCTGGTGATGGTCTGGTTGTGAGAAGAGATTATATGTTCCTTGATAGAGCCCTGTTGTTTATGCATTGTTAATTGCCTGGAAAGAGATGTTATTGTCTTGCCTATATACTGAGTTCTTTGGGGCTTACAGTCCCCAAGTGGGCATTTAAAGGCATAGACGACGTTGGTTTCCTTCAAGGCGTTCTGCTTGTTGTCTGGGGAGTTTTTCATGAGTTCATTGGTCATTTTTTTGGTTTTATAGTAAATTGTCAATTGTATTTTCTGATTTTTGTCTGAAGGGATAACGTTCCTATCAACAATATCTTTCAGGACCCTTTCCTCGGTTTTATGAGCCGTCGAAAAGAAGTTCTTGTAAAATAGTCTAATAGGGGGTACAAGTGCTGTGTTGGTTAACTCTTCAGAGGTTGCACATGGCGTTTCATCTTTCTTTATGATATCTTCAACAAAACCGTTAGAGAAGCCGTTGTTGACTAGGACCTGCCTTACCCTACAGAGTTCTTCATCGACTTGCTTCCATCCTGAGCTGTGGCTGAGAGCACAGTCGATGTAAGTGTTGACAACACTCCTCTTGTACCTGTCTGGACAGTCACTATTGACATTGAGGCACATTCCTATGTTTGTTACCTTAGTGGAGACGGCAGTGTGGAAGCCTCCGCTCCTTTCCGTGACTGTTACATCCAGAAAGGGCAGATTCCCGTTATTCTCCATCTCGTAAGTGAAACTCGACACAGAATTCCGCTCAAATGCCTCCTTCAGCTGCTGCAGACATCTGGCATCAGGTAATGCCAGATGCCTGCACGCCAGATGTCCTGATGCCCGACCCTGCAAACTAAACTAAGTAAATACAACTAGGTGAGTACACACAGGGTGCCTGTTCCCTACAACGGATATTAATGCTGCAATATTTAGGTCTGTCCTGTAATTACATTTTCTTTAGCAATAATCTACTAATATAGAAAATGATCTAAAATTAAATTTTGAGGGATAACTGAATATTTATTGTTAGCTCACTCATGTTGCCTAGAAAATGTCACTTAGTACCTTTACAGTCTAAACTTGTAAGGGCTCCATCTGATTTATACACACGAATGAAATATATTTAATATTTATAGCAATTTTATATTATTGTTCAGTAAGATTTGGTGAAGTTTTCATTACAATAGAACAAGCTTCGTCAAGCTTCCTCTAGCCACACACAACAAATTAAAATAAAATAAATTTATAAATGTTTATTCAGGTAAGGTACATACATACAAGAGGTTTTACAAAAATTGATAGATTTATAGATAGAGATAGTACATACAATGCCTAAAGCCACTATTAAGGAAAGCGTTTCGGGTAGAAATTAAATGATATATTTACTGAATATGAACTACACTCACTTCTGTATAAAGGTAAAGCCATATCTCCTGAGGATAGAGTCCTTACGATACACCGTGATACTGTGAGTGGAGGAGTGAGTGGAGCCATCGGGGAGTGAGAGTGGAGTGAGGCGGATAGAGTAACAACTCTCACTCACTCTCGGGGAGTGAGAGTGGAGGGAGGCAGGTGGGGAGCACAGAAGTAAGAGGCCCAGCACGGAGGTGTGACCTGCGCCACCAACACCAGCCTCACCACTCAACGGATCACCTCATATAATTGTTTTATTGTAAAACTACCTACTGAACTGATTGTTTCAGTCATTTTGTCCGGAGACAGGCATGCAAGCAGCGTATTTACCTGAAGGCTACTAATACTAGTGGCCTCAACGAGGACAGGAAGCCGCCCCCCTTGTCAAAGGTCTCCCTTTTGACAAGCCGGCGGCTTGTCAAAGGTATATATAATAATAATAAAATTTGTATCTGGGGGATAGGCAGCCAGAGTTTTCTTTAATATAGATATTATATATATATATATATATATATATATATATATATATATATATATATATATATATATATATATATATACATATATATATATATATATATATATATATATACATATATATATATACATATATATATATATACATATATATATATACATATATATATATACCTATATATATACTAGTATATTTTGGTAGCAGTCTTTCCTGTAGACATATATTATTAAATATGACCGAAAAAGTAAGATTAATAATTCTAACACGAATTTTCTCAATCTTTCGTACATTACGCTTCACTGTTGGAGGTAAATCAAAAATCAATTCTCCAAAATTCATTTTTATTTCTAGTCTGACGCGACACGGGCGCGTTTCGTAAAACTTATTACATTTTCAAAGACTTTAGTTCACAAATACACAACTGAATAGAACTTACGTATCTCCGATTTTATATCTACATTTGAGTGAGGTGGAAGGGGTGATGTGGCATTAACACAAGACAGAACAAAGTGTGGTATTAATAGGGTATTAATTTCATCAACACAAGACAGAACAAGAGTATTAATAGGGTATTAATTTCATCAACACAAGACAGAACACGAAACAATGGATATTGAATAGAAGTGTTTGTAGAAAGCCTATTGGTCCATATTTCTTGATGCTTCTATATTGGAGCGGAGTCTTGAGGTGGGTAGAATATAGTTGTGCAATAATTGGCTGTTGATTGCTGGTGTTGACTTCTTGATGTGTAGTGCCTCGCAAACGTCAAGCCGCCTGCTATCGCTGTATCTATCGATGATTTCTGTGTTGTTTACTAGGATTTCTCTGGCGATGGTTTGGTTGTGGGAAGAGATTATATGTTCCTTAATGGAGCCCTGTTGCTTATGCATCGTTAAACGCCTAGAAAGAGATGTTGTTGTCTTGCCTATATACTGGGTTTTTTGGAGCTTACAGTCCCCAAGTGGGCATTTGAAGGCATAGACGACGTTAGTCTCTTTTAAAGCGTTCTGTTTTGTGTCTGGAGAGTTTCTCATGAGTAGGCTGGCCGTTTTTCTGGTTTTATAGTAAATCGTCAGTTGTATCCTCTGATTTTTGTCTGTAGGGATAACGTTTCTATTAACAATATCTTTCAGGACCCTTTCCTCCGTTTTATGAGCTGTGGAAAAGAAGTTCCTGTAAAATAGTCTAATAGGGGGTATAGGTGTTGTGTTAGTTGTCTCTTCAGAGGTTGCATGGCTTTTCACTTTCCTTCTTATGATGTCTTCGACGAAACCATTGGAGAAGCCGTTATTGACTAGGACCTGCCTTACCCTACAGAGTTCTTCGTCGACTTGCTTCCATTCTGAGCTGTGGCTGAGAGCACGGTCGACATATGCGTTAACAACACTCCTCTTGTACCTGTCTGGGCAGTCGCTGTTGGCATTTAGGCACATTAATACCCTATTAATACCACACTTTGTTCTGTCTTGTGTTAATGCCACATCACCCCTTCCACCTCACTCAAATGTAGATATAAAATCGGAGATACGTAAGTTCTATTCAGTTGTGTATTTGTGAACTAAAGTCTTTGAAAATGTAATAAGTTTTACGAAACGCGCCCGTGTCGCGTCAGACTAGAAATAAAAATGAATTTTGGAGAATTGATTTTTGATTTACCTCCAACAGTGAAGCGTAATGTACGAAAGATTGAGAAAATTCGTGTTAGAATTATTAATCTTACTTTTTCGGTCATATTTAATAATATATGTCTACAGGAAAGACTGCTACCAAAATATACTAATATACATATATATATACACATATATATATATACATATATATATATACATATATATATATATATATATATATATATATATATATA